GAAGAATCGTTTACGTGCTTTACGCAGTCTGTTGCGCAGGTTTCTTAACTCAATGGACCACCAGGGCTTCCTGTTGGCTCCACTAATAGCAGGGCGGCGTCGAGAGACCTTCAAGTGGAGAATTTCGTAAAGCTTGTCGTAAAACAGAAGAACAATATCATCGACAGAGTGCCCCTGAAGAAGCTGCTCCCAGTCAACCGATGAAAATTCTGCATTGAGAGATTCGAAGTCGCAGCGCCTAAGATCCAGATCAATAGAGTCCGACTGAGCGTTTGCTGGAACGTGCACACATCTATGTACATCAACTTGAAGTTCTAACGGCGGATGGTGAGGATCGATAGGCAAGAGTGGTAAAACAGGATGCGATATTTCAAAATCGTCATCGTTAATTCACATAACCTTGGCCAAACCATGGTGAGTCGCCAGGAGCCTGCAGTATCGGATGCAATGTCCAGAGTCGCTGCCACGGCCGTAGTTGTCCCTGACAAAAGTAGAATATCGGCTGATGATGTGTTAGCAGCCATTAAATCGACCAAGAACATGAAGGCCGCTGGTGGCCATGGAGTGGTTAACCTCGAGTTCAAGCACCTTGCAGCGGTCGTCAATAAGTGTTTGGTGCTTGGCTACCTCCCTACATGCTGAAAGTTAGCCAAAGTCATTCCAATCCACAAGCCTGGCAAAGACCCGACCGGTGCCAAAAGTTATCGCCCCATCAGCCCCATTGTTTTCCATCTCGAAGTTATTCAAAAAGTTGATACTCAGCCGTCTGCTGGTATTTTCAAATGATAGTTCGTGATCAGATGCACTCCATCCTGGCCATCCAGGAGGTCCACCAATACCAGTGGACCTTAAAGAGAAACGAAAACATATTCCACTCAGCGGCAATCGGAGTCCTGGCACCAACACCTTTTTCGACCATACATCTAGACACACACCTTCCAACCGTGGCGGTCAGACTCGAACAACCATTCCCGATTTCAGTTGTTTCCGCTTACCTTCCATGCGGGAAGATACACAACCTTAAACAACACCTCAGCGATCTGCTTCAAGACCTCGAACGACCCATTCTGGTACTTGGGGATATTTATGAACGGCCGTCATCCAGCATCGGGAAGCCCGAAAACCAACTCCGGAGGCTCTACACTTATGGAAGTGGCAGAAGCCTCGGATTTCGTCGTTCTTAACGACGGGTCCATCACTTTCACCAGCGGACAGAGGGTTGTCAACAGGCTCTTCTGGAATGCCGGGGATGATCCCATGGGCAGGGACCATTACCCACTGGTAATCCAACTAGATGACCGACCGCAGGACACATTACGTAAACCACGATGGAAATACGACTGACTGGTCTCTTTTTCAGAAGTCCGTCGACGCCGCATGGTTCAATTCAACACCGGGCAGTATCCAAGACTTCATTAGCTCCATCCATCAAGCGGCACTTTCATCAATTTCACGAACCAGTCCCAACCCAGGATCCCAGAAGGAAGGCTCTTCGGGCTGCTAACCGGCTACCTTGGGACCATCCGTCGAAAGAAGCGGCCATGGCCACCTACAGAGCAAAACGCAACGAGTGCCGACAAATAATCCGGTCTGCCAAGGGTTCAAGCTGGGAACAATTTCTGCACAGCATTAATGCTGGTCAGACGCCCACTGACCTGTGGGGTAAGGTTTAAGTGGCAAACGGAAATGCCGCGGAATGGGCATCCGGGTAGATGGTACCACCACTAGAGACCCTGATAAGATCGCCCACGCTATGGGGGAATATTTTGCGTCTCTCTCGGTCATTGACGGGTACGATGATCGCTTTCGTCGTGTAAAAAACCTTTCGACGTACTCATTGGACAGCATCTACATCCCAGAGGATGAGCTACCGCTGGAGATTAATCGGCCTTTCATGCCACGGTAACTCGACCTACTCGATGTCATTCCAGAAGACTGGAGACACAGCCTAGTCGTCCCGATCCCGAAGCAGGGCACCTCGGATCGCGAGCCGAAGGACTTCCGACCGATATCTTTGACATGTTGCGTCAGTAAGGTGCTGGAGAGAATGGTCAACCGTAGGCTCGTGCTACGTAGGCTTGTGGAGAGTAACGGCTACATTGACCACCGCCAGCACGCTTTCTGTCCTGGACGCGGTACCGGGACCTACTTCGAGACGCGAGAGATTCTGACCAGCATGCTGAACTCGCTACGCTAGACATCTCTAAGGCTTATAACAGGTCATGGACACCCGACATTCATGTTCAACTCACGGACTGGGGTCTGTCGGGACACGTTCTTCATGTTTTGAAGAACTTACTCCGACATCGTACTTTCCAGGTATGCATCGGAAACCATAGATCAAGCGGATTCCCCGAGGAGACTGGCGTCCCGCAAGGTTCGGTGATCGCAGTCACGTTGTTTCTAATACGGATGAACGGAGTGTTCCACAGCTTACCCAAAGAAATATACATCTTCGTGTATGCAGACGATATCGTCTTGGTGGCGGTCGGCTCCACAGTGAAGGCCCTTCGCAGAAAACTAAACGTGGCCACGAATGCAGTTCTACGCTGGACCAAATCCGTCGGATTCTACCTCTCGGTGGAGAAATGTCGACGGAATGATCATGCCGTTTAAGAAGTCTATCCGCGTCCTCGGCATACGCCTGGATCGGCATTTAAACTTTGGAGACCATTTCAACGAAGTGAAGGGTAATTTCCAAACGAGAATCGGTTTGCTGCGGACATTAGCCAGGAGGCATCTAGCGAACAACCGTGCTGTCCGGATGCGCGTGGCTAAAGCGGTAGTCGATTCAAGATTAACATACGGATGACTTGCCTAGCTGCCGACAGGATGATTTCCCAACTGTCCCCGGTATACTATCAGGCCATTAGAATCACATGAGGTCTCCTCCCCTCCACCCCCAGGCTTGCAGCTTGTGTGGAGTGCAGATCTTCGAAGGTTACCCTTTGACAAATTTATCGTTGCTACCGTTTGCAAGAGGGCAGTTGGCTTCGCAGAGAAGACAACTGAAACAAGTGATGGAGTGTCCCTCCTTATGGAGGCGAACAAACTCCTGAAGGATGCCGCCGACCTGGAGCTCCCCCCGGTAGCCAGGGTCTACTGGTGTGGAGCCAGGGGTTGGAACTCACCCGGACTTTCTATCGACTTGGCGATAAAGAACAGATTTCGAGCGGGGACCAACTCCACCGCACTAGTGAGATCGGTGGCCGAACTACAACGAACCAAGTACCCAAATCACCTAGCACGATACACTGACGGATCCCGAACTGGCGGAAGGGTAAGTATTGGGATATCCGATCCGGAGTTACGCACCTTCTACCGACTTCCGGACCCTTGCAGCGTTTTCTCTGCTGAAGCTGCCGCCATACTAGTAGCCGCCACCTCGCCAACCAGCAAACCTATCACCAGCGTATTAACAGCTCTTCAGTCCGATACAGTCAAGCACCCTTGGATCCAGGCTATCTAGAAGCTCGCTCATAGAGGAATAACTTTCATCTGGATCCCAGGACACTTCGGGATCAGAGGAAATGAGGAAGCCGACCATCTGGCGGCAAACCTCTATACCCAAAAGGTCCCTGCTCAAGACATCAAGCGGTGGACCGTGACTACAGTATGGAATTGCTTTACAAATGAATGGCTGCAATCTCAAGATCTCTTTATCCGGAAAATTAAAGGGGACACCAGAAGATGGGATGATCCGCCTGAACACCGATCTCAAGTAATTCTATCGCGGTTGAGAACCGGTCATCCCAAAGCCTCCCACAACATGGGAGGCGGAGGTCCATTTAGGAAGCAATGCAAGACATGCAATGTGACACATAAAGTGGAGCATTTCCTATGCAACTGCCCCCAATACTACGGACCACGCATCCAATACGGGATCTCAGCAAGCGTCAGGGACACCCTGATGTATGACCCCTCTAGCACCACAGCGCTCTTGTCCTTTCTGCGGGAGACAGGATTGATCAACCAAATTTGATATATGAATAATGATCCAAGCAACGACAACGGACAAAGGATTGAACTACTATTGGCAACAACCACAGATTCAAAAACGGGCGAGCGACTATATTAAGATGATGCACAAATTAGGACACGGAAATGGACGGATGATGGCACAAAATTACGCACAGCGACAACAATGAAACTGAACACGGAAAACTACTACACATAAGAACAAAATGACCACAATAGTCGGACACAAGACCAAGCGACGACAATGGATTATGACAAGGACCAACTACTAGACACACCGCAAGTTATGTGAATTTCTGCCAACAAAACCAACTCCATTATTATAACTCTTTCTAACACAATAATTGTACCCTTTACACATCAGGGGGGCCGTTCTCTGAAGTCCTCTTTCCTTTCTGATACGTTCAACGTTGACACTGGAGTTTCCCAGGGTGGCCTTCTTGGTCCTATCCTCTTCACGTCAGATCAAGACCAACAATTGAAATGGCCTTAACTCCATTTTGTAAACAAACCTTGTAAGGCCATTTTCTCGCGAACCGAAGTCCGCAAAGGCAAACCAACATAATGAACAGGTAGGGGAAATTCTCCTCTACCCGATTGTGTTCCTCCCCTTCCGGGTGGAGGTATTTTGTCAATGTTTGCGGATGACACTGCCATCATCTATCAAGGTCGAATGATTCCTGCTCTGTCCAACTATTTCAAAAGCTGGAAAATTTGTATCTATGCAGCTAAAACACAGACCATGAAGTCGTGAAGTAGTTTACCTTGGTCACACCCTTGATAGCAAGTTGCTGTACCGTTCCAATGTGGAAAAACATACACCACTTATCAACAGAAAGTCCAACCTGTCCCTTAGACTCGTTCTCCTCCCTATTTACCAAAAAGAAGGGTTCTATTTCCCGATACATCGGGTCGATGCATAATTACGCCAATGTTTCTCGACCCAGTGGCCGCGAATAGATTTCCATGCGGTATTACAAAAGATATTGCCCTGTGAGCGCCGTATATAATCGATAACTTACCACCAGCACGTCCCCGATGGTCCGCCCCACCAGCGGCGGCGCCGGACTCATGAACGCCGTCATCAGAGTGTACACCGCAAACAGCGCCGCCAGCAGCGATATCGACGTGATGGCCCGTATCGACGTATGCGGGAGAAACACCGCCAGGAAGCACGCCGCCGGATTGGCCATCGTGCTCAGCGTCACCGTTAGATGGTACGCCACATTGCCGTACGGCAGACACGAGTACGACTGGACACTTGGAAAGATTCCGTTCCCGAACATGCACAGCACTCCGAGCAGAATCATGAGATAGGTATAGTTGCGATTCGAGAGTATTTTGTTTTGTTCGAGCTTGACGCTGGATTTGTCGGTTGACGACGCCGACGACGACGACGCTTGGCCGGTTTCGTAGGTGTAATCATTGCCGTGATTGATGACTACGGCAGCGTACTCCTTGCGACACCGCGGATGGTTATCGAGAATCGTAAAAGCAATCGTACTGATTATTAAAATCACAAACACAAAGATGAAGTACTCCATCGAACCGAAGCGTGGTGGTGGCGTGTAGCTGATGAAATCCGGCGCATCGGGATCGGTGGAGTTATTCGCTATGCATTCGGCGTTTCCTCCTACGCCCTGGATCAACGCAACGATGCTCGGGAGGAATCCACTCAGTCCTTCTCCGATCAGATAGGTGATCAGGTAGATGGCACGGAATCGTCCCATGTAGGGCATGAACAGTACCGAACTAGTACAGCCGACCAGTGCCAACGCGAAGACGCACACAAACATCGCCACAGACCGCTCGGCGCCAAACACGTGCGCCGTCACTTCGTACAAGAACGCCATACAAATGGCACCCACGGTACCAACGACTAAAACTGCGTAGATCATGTACGAATCCTTGAACGCCCGCACTTTCTGCAGTCCCGTGTAGATCAAGGGACCGAGGTTCCCCAGCTGGGTGATGATCACCAAATACGACGGAAGGTTCCATCCTTCCGGTGCGTTCACCACCAGCAGCGGCAACTGCACGAAATTCGAGTTCACTCCGATCCACGCACCAACGCCGAACAATATCGCCAGGAGGTCCACCAGTAGACTACGACCCTGGAGTGAGTCCCGCACGCCGGATAGTTTGCTTTTCATGGTGTTCGGCCTCCGCAGCAGGCAACAGCTTTCGGTCAGCACGGACGAAGATGGACTGAAACGGTAGAGGGTAAGGATAGCATTAATATTGATTGACAATGGCAAAGGCCTTCTGTGAGATTGCCAGGTAGGGCAATTATATTAGTATGCGATTAGATAACGACCAGTCGGTGCAACTTGTCTGAGTCCGAATTGAGATTGGACCACGCGTTTCAACAATGTGGTCGGTCGTCGTCATTGGCATCTTTGAAGTGCAGCGAGCTTCGTCTAGTTCATGGCAGGTACGTGGATATAGTAGGGTAAATGGCTTCGGCATTACCTTTACCCATTATGGTCAGGGGGTAAATGAAGTTCTATGGTGCTCATTTTTTGAGCGATTGGCCAAAGTTGAACGATCTAGGTCTGTGTTTACCGCCCTGACGATAATAGGTAACGGTATTGCCGAAGCCATCATTAGCCTTATGTAGCGGTACTTTTGGGTTTACAATCGTACTGATCCCCAACCTTTCATTTTCATTTAAAGAAAAATCTCGCATAACAGGATTACTCAGTCGTAAAAATGTAATCAGAAAGTCTAAGGAATGGTTTGAATACACTCAGCGAAGTGTATTAATGGCAAAGTACAGTGAAATTAACGTTTAGCTTTTGATTGCCGAAAACAGTCAATGGGTGCTGAAGTCAACATTTACCCTAGTTGCTTCAAATCAAGCACTGAACAAAATTCTAGTTGATAAAACGAACATCGGCATAGATATTCCGGAAAATTTCATCGTATTGCGCCGAAGCTCTTGACCGCATCGGAGAAAATAACAAAGTCCAGATGAAGTCTCTAAACCTGGAGTCGGATGTGGAGAGAGTACTTGGTATGGTGCGCAGGCCAACGCACAGTGGGGATTTTGGTAGCAAAAAGACTTGAAATTGTCTGCCGCTTAAACCACACATTGTAACATATAACTTCCTTTGGAAAAAATGTCAAGAATTTTTCCTTTGGTTTGTTTTTTCCGTCGATCTTGTTTTCCGTGCTGAGCACCAATGCTACCGACGTACCAGGAAGGCAGCTCCCACACCTGGACCCTACCTATCGACCCATCAACTCATGAACCGGGGACCAACGGCTTTACTTCCCATCCGAAGGAAGGCGTGATCAGAGTTGTTATGCCTCAGAACATCCCGGTGGCGCCGACTGGTAGTCAAGAATATTATTCTGCGTATTTTCAATGGGCGCACGCGGTGATAAGTGCATGTGTTGAGCCTATTTTGCCCAAAATCCCGTATTTTCTGTAGGTCTGTCCCATTATGATACTTAACTGATTCAAATAGTCACTACCTTTTATCAGAAATGGCCAATTTGTCTTCTAGTAGTCAGCTTATGACTTTTAAAAACTATTGATAACATTTATAGGAGAGCATGGGGTCAAATAAGCCAGATATTGTAATAAAATATAAAAGTTTTCCGAATTTAAACTCAATATTAAAAAAAGAGATGCTCAGAAAGTGGATTACAATAGTCTAATGGACAAAACTGATTCAAATGCATGTTTTGAGCGTATTTTGATGCGATTGTTTTTCGTCTACTTCAAACCAATCCCGACATAGACTGGTTTCTAAGTGCGGATTAAAACTGAAGCAGACTTTATTTGGCGAACATAGTGCAATTTAAAACAATTTCTCTTGACCTTCTACAAGCTACCACCTCACACGCGATCTTCGGATCTGATCGGGCTAGGGCCGTCTTCATCATATCCGTCAGGTTTGCTTCAGGAGAAACTTAACGTGACAGATTCGGTCTGATATGTTTATAAATTTTATGGCAGCGTTCTCCAGGCTGCTCATCCACAAAATTCATAAGAAAAGGCTGTTGAAAAAAAAATCCTAAACTGTTATAGACTAAGATATACTACTAAGCTTACCAGTTGTCTTATGAACTCCGCCAAATGTTGGTACTTGTGGATGCATGGCGGCAGGTTACGCACAAACGGAAACTCCTGTAAAACTTGCTGTTCGAATTCTGCGTACAGGTGGGCCACTTTATCCGGATCAAGTTTTCTGTCTGATAAAGCGAGACAGCTTATCAATCTGAGATTTTCAACTAAATTTAGGTCGAGTTCAGTACTTCAGCAAACTTGACTGGGTCTGATAATAGTTTTCTCGCAGTATTACCATTGTTGCTATTCCCACTCCTCCCGATTTTTGGGCGGATTATATTCATGCCAAAGTGATTTTCTAGTTCACCTGCCATTTCTCGAGCTTTTGCTTTCACAAGTGGATGCGTGAGAGCTGGATGACCCTCCACTAATTTTGTGGCAGCCATTCTTATAGACCACTCTACACAGTTCAATCAAGAATTCAATCAAGAATGAAAGTACGATGGACCAATGCGATTATCAGACCCCTTGAAACAAAGTGAACCAGCATGAGTATCACGGTTTCCAACAATCGCGTTTGTTACCTTACCATCTATCATGGTGTAAAGGGATGATACTGTAATATGCAGCGTGACTTCTCCAACAACAACTGTAACCGGGTTGCTATTAATTGCCTCTACTTCTGCGAAAAAAAATGTCAGAGAACTGCTTGGTGATTATTTCAGTCTCCTTTAACCAGCTCATTGAGCTTATGCTGCAGAATGAACTTGCCCGAGGATTTGGATTCTTCCAAATAACTTCTCCTTCATCGGTTTGCTATAAAAGACTCATATAGTGCTCGGATAATAAAGAATCATCGTTCCTCAATATTTTAGCCATATTATAATGACTGAATCCGGTCGCAGAATCGGGGCCTGCCGTTGCGAATAGCATATATTTTAAATCTTTACGATTGAACGATGTAATTTTCATAGAAACGTCATCCAGTTCGCTGATTCGGTACATATCACACGTAACCAAATCTCTAACCGTACACTTCGATGAAAAGTAACCCTGATCCCAATTAGGTGCAGAGAAATCTGGAATGATGGTATCACAGTACTGAGATACTTTTCTCCAAGGTTGTAACAAACAATGGTCTGTAGCGAACCTTCCAAATCCCTCATACTTGATACGACTCAGCCCCATTGACGTCTTAAGCATGAGGAATTTTTAAATAGACTCAACAGCAGTTTTCTTAAAACTGTGCAATTTCCTCAAGATATCCTGCGCCCATTTTTCTCCACCATCTACAATATGCTTGATTATTTTAGCTATTGCAGGATTCATGTTCTTGATAGCTGAGAATCGTGCCGATTTTAATAAGAGTGGTAAAGGTTCTCTTTGAGTTAACACAACGGGCATTTTGAGTCTTTTTAGACAATCGGATATATTCCTTTTTTTCGGCCTTGTGGTTTGTCATGTAGGGGAGATTGCTCATCGAAAACTGAAGGAACTGTTTCATTGGAAACATGAGTTGTGCAGGATCCAACAGATGACACCTATGTAGATAAAACAATATTCTTTATAAATAACAATGCATATTTATGGAAACACTATCTTTGAAACGAAAACTTAAGTATTGAAAAATTCGTTCATTGTTTAAGGTTAAACATGAGCAGAATTAAAGGCAACCATAAAAAAAAAACAACTATTTTTATTTTTTAAATGATTCAGCAAAGCTGTAAGGCAAATAATTGTATTGCAAAAAGGCATGTTCACAAAAAGACAACAATTGTACAAAGTTTCAATTAAGTCGTTGATAATCAATTACAAATGAGCTAGAATTAGGGCGTAACAGCCTTTGTAAACAATGACTTCTCTTGTTGATGTCTCGGAATTCAAGGCACGCTTACACAAACCAACATATCCAACGGGTAGGAGAAGTCTTCCTCTACTCGATGGTGATGTCGATTTGCCAGGGCGATCCATGACTTCCGAGAAATCATCAAGAGAAGTCATTGTTTACAAAGGCTGTTACGCCCTAATTCCAGGTCTATCTAGATTTGTCCAATCTTTTCGATTTCTCTCGACTGAATTCGCTAAGATAAAGTGATTTATATATATACATTGGTCAGGGGTAAAAAAGTTTAGATTGTGATTGTCCGATCTCCATATGGACAGCATCCTTCGGTGAAACGATCCATTCGGCGAAAAGTCACAGTCTCCTTCATCACAATAAAATTAGTATAATTTTTTTACAATCACGAAACCTGCATATACTCTTCTTAAAAAGATGCTCATTCTTCAAAATTGGATTTCGACCTTTTGTCCTTTCGACCTATTGTCTTCCGATCTTTTGTCATCGATTCAAAATTTTTGGAAAGTGCTGTCTTAGCGATGCATTACGGTATTTTTGAATGATGCATTTGCTAATACATGTACTTTAGTTTCTATTAGGAACGCACATAATATGTTTCCAATAGCAAAAAAATAATGATTTTTATCTGAATATCACATAGCATAAGAAATTATGTATAAGAAATCATATAAATTTCATTGGGCACATAACGTTCATGTGATTTAGTGGTGCAATTTGCAATTATGTGATCACATGAAAGTTGTATGAAATTCACATGGATATTTTCCACTGGTTATGTGATTTATTTTATGAGTGCATATTCATATCCAACCTCTGTCTATTTTCCATTTGTTTAATTTTGCTATCATGCAGCATGAGTGCAGAATTTTTTTAAAGAAACTTTATTTTTCTTGATTTTTTTTTTGTGAATCTAGTTGCATTACATTTGGTTGAAAATTGAGATCACATGATCAAAACTACACCCCGAATATAATTTGCCTAATTTAGAATAGAATTTGCGATACAAAATTAGATGAATTGTGTTGTATTCGGGGCACTCCCCAACAAACAATTTGTGCTGATTAAAAGCTGAATAAGCCATTTTTAAGTTGAAGAAGCATATTTTCGTCTGAATAAGCTCTAATTCAGCTTTCAATGTTTGTTGAGTCGTGCATAACGTATATTCGTTATAAGCCACACAATAGTAGCAAAAAAAAAATCGTAAAAAGATTGAAGTGTATACTTCAACTATAGTGATTCAGGCAGTTTTTTTTTTGTTAAAAATTGAATCAAATCAGCCTTGTTGTTCCCGAGCTCGATGTATTTTTTTCGCAACACTTTTATTCAGTA